CAAGGATTTATTTTTTTAATGTATTTGGTACAAGATCTACAGGGTCTCACTACACAGATCAGACTCGTGATCCTCCTGTTTTCAGCCTCCCAAGTGCTGGGATGATAGGCACTCGCCACCATGCCTAGTGTCAGTCACCACCCGCGGACATACACACCGTGACCGACCACAGCACTCCGCCTAAGCAGGCGCTTTAGTCCACTGAGCTATCTGGAAGTCGTAATTTTTTCTGTGGTCTTGAGAGTTAGCCTTTAGTAACCATGTTCCTGTGTTTAAAGTTGTGTGTGCCTATTACTAGACTGGATCCAGGGCTTTTACTCTGAGCTATGTGTGCATCACCCACCCACCTTGTAATTCAGGCTGGCCTTGAACTCACTTTGTAACCCAGGCAGGCTTCAAACTGAGCAGACCCCTGCCTCAGCCTCCCAAGTACTGGGATTACAGCCATGCTGTACCATACCTGGCCTTGAAAAGACGGCTTTCTGCATGTAGTATCTTTGTTTTTATTTCAGTTAATTTAGTAGAATTGTATAGATAGCAAATGTTCGGCTGCACTTAAGTATTACAGTCTTGCCTAGCAAAGCTCAGGGTCCTGAGTTCAATCCCTGGTACCACAAAAAAAAAAAAAATACAGTCTTACTTAAAACATTGTTTTGGTGATCATATTCATAAATGTGAAGCCTAGTGGCTTCGTGTTGTTAACCCCAGTTCTGTATAATGACATTGAAAGGTTTTGGTTACTTGAGGTTAGGTATAAAAACATCTTTAGAAATATGTATGATTGCCTAGTCTTGACCCCTGATCAGTACCTATTTTGCCAGCTCAGCCCACTCTGGGGGAAGGGCTGGCACAGCGTGTGGTGCCAGGGATTGAACTGCGGTCCCTGCGCACTTGCCTAAGTTTGCCTAAGCAGCCACTTTAGACCGCTGAGCTATCTCACCAGCCCCCTGATTCTTTGTGCCAATGACAGGTGTTTGTTCTTTTTGGTGAGAGGGTTGTTGATAATGTAGTTCAGGCTGACCTGGAACTCATGATGATCCTCCCGCCTCAGTCTAACAAGGGATGGAATTACAAACATGCATCACCATGCCCAGTCAACACATGATTTTATTGATATACTTTTGCCTAGATTTCCTCGGCCTGTGACTGTGGAGCCTATGGACCAGTTAGATGACGAAGAAGGACTTCCAGAAAAGCTTGTTATAAAGAACCAGCAATTTCACAAGTATGTGTTCATGATACATTACCTGTTAGGTGTTATTTATTGTTTGACAGTCTCGTGTGTTTCAGGCTGATTTTGAACTTTCTGTGTAGTTCAGCCTGGCCTTAAACTTGCTGTGATTGTCTTGTTTCAGCCTCCTGAGTGCTGGGATTACAGCCTTGTACCACTATACTCCACTTTTTTTTTTTTTTTTTCTTAATATTTATTTATTTATTTATTTAGTGTGTGTGGCCAGCTCAGCCCACCAGGGGGCGGGGGCTGGCTGGCTGGCATGTGGTGCTGGGGGATTGAACCGCAGTCCCTGTGCTTTGCTTAGCTTAGCTTGTTCTAAGTAGGTGCTTTAGACCACTGAACCATCTCACCAGCCCTCTACTTTTTTTAATGTTGAAGTATTTTAAAGGGATATATGAGAGACAGGTGTTTGCATTATGTGTCCATTGGCATTTAACTTTGCTTTCAGGAATGTGTTGCTTTACTGGGGAAATCTTTTTTTTTTCCAAAGTTTTATTGATAAACAGCAATGAGACAGTTTCAAATCAAATCGGAAGTACAGTTTCAACAAATAATACACTGCATATATTCTTCTTAGTGGTTAATTGCTGTACAAGATGCGGACTTGTGATCCTATTTACAAACACCATTAGAACAAATCATTCTATTCATTAAGAGAATGCAACTATATATCTATCCCAACCACTTTGAATACACAGATACAAAATGGACATTCATCGGTATACTACATTTTTTCTAAGTTCCGTTATTGAATATTATAGGTGTGTAAACTCAGCAAAATATTCTAAAAGAGTCCAGTAGCCCATAATAGCATTGGGTCTTCTGTTTAACTGGCAGTGTCAGAAATTATTGACCTGAGTCCCCCACAGCTCAACTTAACAGCATGGCTTTATTTCTTATATTTCGTCTTCATACTTTTCTACTGGATGGTTAAGACCAAGGTAAAGCAGGACCTATGCAACAAGAGTTGTAGCTTTTCGGTCTGCGAAGGTCAGTGAAATGCCCTCAGGATTTGTCCTGAGATCCTGTACCTCAGATTGTAGAACCTTTATCAGTGCAGCCATGTGGATGAGTCACAGCCATTGCTTGGCCAATGTGCTCTCTGTGAAAGCCTGAGAGAGTGTCTTCTCTTTACTGGGGAAATCTTGAAACCTAATCTTGGAAACCTTTCTGTAGGGAGCGAGAGCAGCCACCTCGATTTGCACAGCCTGGCTCATTTGAGTATGAATACGCCATGCGTTGGAAGGCACTTATTGAGATGGAGAAGCAGCAGCAGGATCAGGTGGACCGCAACATCAAAGAAGCCCGTGAGAAGCTGGAGATGGAGATGGAGGCTGCTCGCCACGAGCACCAGGTCATGCTGATGAGGCAGGGTGAGTATAGCCCTGTCAGTTTTAAAGTAGAAGATAGTAAAAGGCTTTTTTGTGTGTGTATGTGGCTGGCTCAGCCACCCTAAGGGGGCTGGCACAGCATGTGGTGCTGGGGATTGAACCACAGTCCCTGCGCTTGCCTAAGCAGGCACTTTAGACCACTGAGCTATCTCAACAGCCCAACAAAAGGCTTTTTGATAGGAGTCTGTAGTGTTCTGTAGAGGAAGACCTAAATCTCTGCTTTTATTTTCTCAAGTATTTTATGATGCTCTTGGTAGCCAAATAAATGGCTTGGATATAGGGGTAGAGAGTCCTAGATTCTTGGAGAAGGAGTTGATAAATTTGACTTGAATTTTGGAACCTGCATTCTTGAATACTCAAGGACTATTATCCTCCTTGTATTTTGGATCTTTATGGAAAATCAGGCATATTGAGGGATACTGTCAATCTGTTTATAGATTTGATGAGACGCCAAGAAGAACTTCGGAGAATGGAAGAACTGCATAACCAAGAGGTCCAAAAACGAAAGCAACTGGAGCTCAGGTAACTTTTCTCGAACCTTTTTCTCTGGCAACTGGAAAAGGTAATGTCCTCTTGTTTCCTACCATCATGCTGCTTTGTACATCTGTAACAGTATTGGTGAATATTTCATGGTTGCTTCTTAGGTCTACCCTTTGAATGGGAGATGTATGGTTCTAGAACTTAGCTGGGGCTGCCTTGGAGGGAAAGCATCCAAGTGTCGCTCTCATCAGGCTTCCTTGGGGGTTGCCGTAGTTGTGGGTGAGCTGTGCTGGTCTCAGGTGCTGGGTGAGCTGTACTAGTCTCAGGTGAGCTCATCTGCTTGGCTCAGGCTTCTGCTAAGAGCTGCTGCAGTTTTGGAATGTCTCTGTCTTAAATACATTGATTTGGCTCTCTAGGCAGGAAGAGGAGCGTAGGCGCCGTGAAGAAGAAATGCGGCGACAACAAGAAGAGATGATGCGGCGACAGCAGGAAGGATTCAAGGGAACCTTCCCTGATGCGGTATATCTCCCATGTGCCCATGATGATATACCAGGTCATTTGTGATAGCACAAAACCACCATGAATTGTGTGCTAGGAGATGAAGTTATGAACAGTTTATCTATGCTATGAAATTCCATTTTCGAAAAAAGTGATTCATGAGAGCTAGAGGTAAGGTTTGAAAAGGAGTTCATCTTATCTTACAAGCAATTAGGATGCAAAGTTGGGCCTGCTGTGCCGGCCCCACCCCCGGGGCTCACTGAGATGGCAGTTGCGTCTGGGTGAGGTGGCACATGCCGGTAATCCCAGCGCTTGGGAGGCTGAAATCCGGAGGATCACTACAAGTCCAGTCGGTGTGGTGACACCTTGTAGACCCTGCACTAAATTCAAAAAGAAACAAAAAAACCCAGGATGCACAGTTGGGACCTCCACTGTATGTTCACTGTATGCTGTAGACTCAATAGTTATAGAATAAGGTAAATTGAGTTCTGTTAACAGCCTTACTTAATTTACTGCTGTTCTTATAGTTGTAGAAGTCGGAGTACCAAAAGAAATGAACTGTTTCTCTCCGTACCTCTCACTTTTGTTACTGATGGGAACGGCTTATATCCTGATAGCTGTGTGGCCTGAACTCCCTGTACAACTAGTAACGGGCTGCTGGCCTCAGTGCTCTTGATGTGTTTTCATTGTATTTTATTCCTTTAGTGTGTAGTTCTCAGTGCATTATGGTAAAATGTACTACTCTCTTGGACTGTCTTTGAGTATTTTTGTTTTTCAGCGAGAGCAAGAGATACGGATGGGCCAGATGGCTATGGGAGGTAAGAACTTAAGGTGTGATGGCTCTGACTTATTTTTTGTTTGTTTGGTGCCTGGTGAGCTATATAGCTTCTCTCACCTTTTCCAGCTTTTTTTCTTTGTTTTGTTTTGTTTTTTTTTGGTTTTTTTCTTTTCTCTTTTTTCTTTTTCTTTTTTGTCTTTTCAAGACACACTCTCACTGTGTAGTTCATTCTGGCCTTGAGCTCACATTGTAGCCCAGGTTGGTCTCGAACTTAGTGATGATCCTCCTGCCTCAGCCAAGTGCTGGGATTACAGGCATGTGTCACCAGGCCCAGCACCTTATTCATATTTAAGGGTCTGATATTTTCAGGAACATCTTTGGTTGGTTGGTTGTGGTCTGGTGGAGGTGGTGGTGGTGGTTGTGGTATCTCTTAGTTCAGAAGTCTTACTGAATTTTTTCTTTGGTATAGAAAGCAAGTCCGTGTACTAATGACACTACTCTGCTTTAGGTGCTATGGGCATAAACAACAGAGGCGCCATGCCCCCTGCTCCGGTGCCAGCTGGTACCCCAGCTCCTCCAGGACCTGCCACTATGATGCCCGACGGAACCTTGGGATTGGTAATAAATTACAGGACCTTAACAGTATTTCTGAATTGTGGGAGAAAAAGGCTTCACTTTCATAGCTCCCGGGCCTAGCTTAGTTTTACAGGAAATAACACTCTTTAGAACTACTGGTATCCATGAGATTTTTTGTTGTTTTCATTGTTTGAAATAAGGTCTCTGGGCCGGGGAGATAGCTAGGTAGAATAAGTGCTTGCCTGGCAAGGGCAAGGGCCTGAGTGAGTTCAATCCTTGGTTCTGCCAAAAATAATAAGGTCCCCTGTGTAGTTCAAGCTCTCTCTGAACTCACTATGGAGCCTAGGCTTGCCTTAAATTTACTGCAGTCCTCCTGTCTTGGCCTCCTGAAGGCTAGGATTACAGGTGTGTACCACTATGCCTGGTAGTTATTTTTAATTTTTTATTTTATTGAGAAAGAAGTAACAAGACAGTTTCAAAGCAGGTTCGTAGGACAGTTACAATAATTAATACATTATATATTGTTGTCTTTGTAGTAATTCATAGTACAAGATGCAGACATGATATCTTGTCTAAGGTTATTTTTACTCTTAAACAAATTCGAACATACTGTATCTGAGTACTAGCCAATCTGATTGCTACCCTGAGTGAATAGGTTGCAAAGACAAGAATGAAAGTTCAGGGGCCGGGGAGATGGCTCAGTGGAATAAGCGCTTCCCTGGCAAGCACAAGAACCTGAGTTCAATCCCCGGTTCCGCAAAAAAAAAAAAAAAAAAAGGAAGTTCAACATTCTCACATAAAATAGCCTTGAATCCAAAGACATGGCTCTCAGTGCCAGAGCTTTTAGTTGTGTTAAAGCATGTAGTGCCAACAAAACTGGTTAGGCTTAAGTGCTGTAGAGTAATAGCCTGCCCTTGTCTAGTTATTAATCAGCAAAAAGGGCTTGCAGTATTGTTTAGTCTGTAGTGAGGAATGTAGATAAAAAGTTGAAGGTGAGATGACTCAATTTGTCCCTCATTCAGATGTGTTTCTTCTGAAGGTTACCCAGGGCTAGCATCAAAAGCCTTGAATAGTTGGGAGGAAACAGCATCCATGAAGAGGCTGACTGAAGGTGGGTGGGTAGCTTAGCCCAAGTAAGTGTGCTGTAACATTACTCTTTTTTTCTCTTTTTAAGACGCCACCAACAAGTGAACGCTTCGGCCAGGCCGCTACGATGGAAGGAATTGGGGCAATTGGTGGAACCCCTCCGGCTTTCAACCGTGCAGCTCCTGGAGCTGAATTTGCTCCAAACAAACGTCGCCGATACTAATAAAGTTGCAGTGTCTAGTTTCCTGAAACCCTTAAAAGAAGGAACCCTTTTGGACTAGCCAGAATTCTACCTTAAAAAAGTGTTAGGGATTCTTCCCAATAGTTAGGTCTTCCCTACCTGTACTACTCTAAGGGAGTATGCTGGGGGCAGAGGGCAAGGGAGGGGTGATACTTAACAAATTCTGTGTGGTTTGTTTAATCGGTTCTGTGTGACGCATTCCTGAAATTTCAAATATAATGAATTGTTGAAGGCTTGGGGAACCATGACAGGATGATTCCTTAGAGTCCCATTGATCTTGAGCATTCCGGGTTTTTTTGTCCATCGTGTTTTATTTGCTTTCTACACCCCTCACGCCCAGAGACACTGCCACATACGCCACAAAAAAAAACAAATATCTCCCAGTGACCTTAGCCCCATTGCTCCATTTGCTCCCAGGTGAGAATTCAGGCAAATGTCCTCAGGCCCAGACAGCATATGTACGGTTCTGTTATATCCCATATATTACCCTTTCATGTACTAAAGACATCTTCTCTTTAGAGATTTTCATTTTAGTATATCTTTAAAAGAAAAAATCTTGTGTTAACTTGCCTCCATGTTTTCCTTGGGAAAGGATATCCCAGAAATGACATTTTTTGTGTTTATGATGTTGCTGTTCACAGCTTTTCTTGATAGGCCTAGTACAATCTTGGGAATAGGGTTGCTGTATGCTGAAGGTCCAACAGTAGCTCTTAGCCTTGCCTATCTTAGGTAGTTATGCTGTGCATTTTTTATTGGTGTACCATGTTTGATTTATCCCTGATACCTTAAATTTGGAGTTTTTCTGAGAAATGGAGCAGTAATACAGCATCAACTTATTAAAGTACATTTTAAGCCTTTTAATTTTCTGTGCTGTTTTTAAAGGGGAAGGGAGGGAAGTGTGAAGTGTGGTAATCCTATTTTAGAATATGAATGGTAAGCTTTGTAAGTGTGATGGGGGGGCGGGGAGATAGCTCAGTAGAATAAGTGCTTGCCTGGCAAGTACAAGGGCCTGAGTCCAATCCCTGGTTCCGCAAGAAGAAAAGTGATGTGTTACGAACTTTTGGTTCAAGTGTTCGTCTCAGCAAGTGGGAGGAGGTGTGATGATACATGCTGAGAGATGGTTAGCAAGGATTAGTGTTTTCAGTACTACGTGGAAAGTGATCCCAGGGAAACTGCTTTTTATTTTTTTGAGAGGGTCTCTGTATATGTAGTTCAGGCTGGCCTCAAAGTCACAGCAGCCCTCCTGCCTTGGCCTCTTGTGTGCTGGGATTACAGGCATGCACCCCATCATTCCCTGATCCCAGGGAAGCTTTAAATGGGAAGAATGACCTAAAAGAATTGAGGTACCTTCATAGAGCTGGGGTGAGGGGGTGGTCTCCATTGGTATTTGTTTCTGAGCAGCTGCTGGTATGTCAGAGGCTTGGAATTGGCAAAATCTAAAATTGTCTCAATAGTAGTAAGCTGACCTCATGCAAGTTCCAAGCTCTGTTCTGCTTGATCCCTTTTTTTTTCCCCAAGCCTGAGCTAAAATTCTCATAAGCTCCTTCCTATTGGCTGGGAAGACCAATTGGAGTTCCTTGTCCATGTTAGGAGGTGTATGCCTTCTGAACTAAAGATAGAACCAGCAGGCCTTTCCAGGCAGCTTAAAGCCTCCAGAGTAAGAGGTGTTCCCTGCTCGGCAGACTCCTTGAAATACCCTTTCAGTAATTCTACCAATACCTCCATGTCTCTACTCTGCCATAACAAAGGCTGTGGGCAACAATTTGACCCCACTACCAACCATCCTGGTGAGTAAATGGACCTGACCAGGACATCTGTGGGGTTCTTGGGAGTGGGTGGTCAGTGGCGGGGCGTCTGTTAAAGTAGGGAGAGAATTTGATGCACAGGCAGTAGTTAGTCTAAATGATCAGTCTGTGCTGAAACATGGAAAGAAAACAAACATGCCAAGCATGGTGTGTGCCTGCAATTCCAGCACTCAGGAGGCTGAGTCAGGAGGACCACTGTGAGTTCAAGGCCAGCCTGAACTGCTTAGTGAAACCTTGTCTCAAAAAGGTTACCGTCAACAAAAAATTAACCTGGAGAAAAAGAATCATTTGATACAGTTCTCTTCCCTTGATTTTTCTACGGATATCCACAGATTCCTGTTGCTATCACCCTGGGGTCCCAATCTTCCATGATGCACTCAAGGTGAGAAGTAGGTGAAGAGATAGCAAGAGCAGTTCAAAAAGGAAGTATACCCAGGAATCTAAACTCATCTGGGTCTCTTACCAGGGTTGGTCCTGCTGCCAAAAGCGAACTGTAGATTTCTCTGAGTTCTTAAACATCAAGGTAAATTCCTTCACTTCCTTGGGTTCTGCTCTTATCAGGAGGATTCTATTTCTAATCTTTTTCTTCTTATTTATACTAGGGTTGTACTGTGGGACCACACTGTGCTGAGAAGCTTCCTGAGGCCCCTCCTCAATCTGAGGGCCCTGCTACCAGTTCACTTCAGGAGCAAAAACTTCTGAATACAATTCCAAAGTCAGCAGAGACCTTGCGCCGAGAGAGGCCTAAGTAAAGAGGAGGAAATCCCTGGGTTTTCCCTGCGTTTAGGCAACGTCCTAGGAGTGATTAAATGGATCATTGGGATTTGGTAAATAGGGACCAGAGATGTGAGGAGGATTTGGAATGTACATACAATACTCTCTGCCTTAAAGGAAATTTGTTTCTGGAAAATGCCCTCTGCCCTAAAGGAGAGGGGGTCAGGATGCTGGGACACATTATTTTGAATCAACGGAACAGGTAGCCCCAAATACATGCTTCGCAGATAGTAACTAAAAAGGGATTATTGAGAATGACTTTTCTTTCCTGGCGAAGAGCTTTAAGATAAATCTTACACAGACAAAAGGAAGTATTGGCAGCCAGAAGGCTACAGAAAATAATTTTGTGAGGCTAGTAAGAGCAACAGAACCATGTTAGGTCCAGTGTTAGGAAGGTGAGATGATGCATTTCACTTAGAGCAGCTGAGGAGAGGGACAAACTTTGGGGATTATTTCCCTAGGGTTCAGGAATGTTGGATGTTCACAGAGACGAAATTGGCAGTGGGTTGAAATTGAGAAAGGTATGTGAAATGCGTGTACCAACTTAGCAAAACAGCCCACCATTATTTAACACTATCAAACACTAACAAAAAGAAGTATAAGGGGAGAAAATTGGCAGTGTGGTAACTACCCAATTTCCCCAACCCTGCCTCCCTTTCACTCCATTAGATTTAACTCCATTATCACAAGTTTGAGTGTTGGAGCTGGCAATCATGATTAATAGGCAAAACTAAATCATCTGTTGGGTGTGGCGACATACACCTGTAATCCCAGCACTTGAGAGACTGTGACAAGAGGATCACTTGAGTTGAGACCAGCCTGGACTCCATAGTGAGTTCAAGGCCAGACTGAAATGAACTACATAGTGAGACCCTGTCTCAAAAAAAAAAAAAAAAAAAAAAAGTTAAACAATTTAAAAAACCCTAAATCACCTGCCTATAATCCCTAGGTCTGAGTTGCCCCTGAAGCTGCTGCCAGTAAATATATCTCATGTCCTAGAAATGGCATTGGAACAAAAAGAACTAGACCAGGAACCTGGAGCAGGTAGGTACATTCTTAGCCGGGCAGGCCTCACAGACTGGAATGGCATGAGGTGGGGCGATGTGAATAGGTTCCTGACTCTTACTTCCCTTGCCAGGAATGGATAGTAGTCTGATCGGGACTGGTTCCTGCTGCCAGAACCCCGGATGTGACGCAGTAAGAGTTTTGGGGAGTTCATGTATTTGGCTGAGAGATGCTACACTTGAAAGTGACTGAGTATAGACATGGGGGTAAGTGGGGTACACCTTAGAATGACCTGATTCTTTTCCTAATGCTTCTTTATCCTTACTAGGTTTACCAAGGCCCAGAAAGTGATACTACTCCATGTACCTACCACCCAGGAGCACCTCGATTTCATGAAGGGTGAGGGAGGGGACTAGGTAGTTAGTGAGGCAGGTTTCTCCCAATATTGATCGTAAGTGTGGGAGATTCGGGGTAGGAATACAATTGAGTTATCTTCCTGCCTCAGGATGAAGTCTTGGAGCTGTTGTGGCATCCAGACTCTGGATTTTGGGGCATTCTTGGCACAGCCAGGATGCAGAGTTGGTAGACATGACTGGGGGAAGCAGGTAAGCTCCGACTTTCCTGATTCTTGATTAGAATGTGATCCCAGAGATAAACTCCTCCCATACCTCATGGCCAAGTGCCCTGTCTTCTTTCTTTAGTATAGATCAAAAAAAGAGTCAGTTCCTGGGCTGGGGCTGTGGCTCAGTAGTAGAGAGCTTGCCTAGCTGGCCCAGCATGTGCTAGGCTCCGAGTTCTATCCTGAGCACTGCCAAAAATCCAAAAAGATTTAACACCTTATTCCTCTGTAGTCTAGAGGGCTTTGCTGCATGGAAAATCTTGTTAATCTTTCTGAGAATCTGGCTGGGTCTTTTCCACATACACCTGAGGATGAGAGCTCCTCTTAGGTAGAGCTCTCTCTCTCCCTCTCTCCCCCAACGCCCCCCACCCCACTTCACACTGAGCTGTCTCTAGCTTGCTTTGCTTGATGCAGTGCTGAGGATTGAACACAGGGTCTTCACACTGAGCTATACCCTAGCTCTTTTATTTTTATTTTTTATTTTTTTTAATTTTTATTTGTGTGTGTGTGTGTGTGTGTGTGTGGCCAGCTCAGCCCACCAGGGGGCGGGGCTGGCATGTGGTACTGGGGGATTGAACCGCGGTCTCTGTGCTTTGCTAAGCTTGTTCTAAGTAGGTGCTTTAGACCACTGAGCCATCTCACCAGCCCCTACCCTAGCTCTTTTAAATTTTTGGAGACAGGGTCTTGCTAAGTGCCCAGGCTGGACACTTAAACTTGTTATCCTTCTGCCTCAGCCTTCCACAGTGCTGGAATTACAGTCATGTACTACCACCTCTATGAGTTTATTCTTTTTTTTTTTTTGAATTTTAAAAAATCTTTTGTTTGCATAGGATCTTGCTATGCAGCTCTGACTCAGTGATTCTCCTATCTCAGCCTCCCCAGCGCTGGAATTATAGGCATGTGCCATCACACCTGGTTTCAGGGTCTGCATGGCATGCAATACCAGGGATCAAACCTGGGTCCTTGCTCTTGCCAGGCAGGTGCTTAGACTGCCGAGCTTTCTCCCCAGCTCCTCTAAAACTTTATTCTTACCATTCATATTTCACATCTTCTCTTTAGCTGCCAGCATCTTGCCGCCATGATTGGCACCAGACAGATTCTGTAGTGGTGATGACTGTATATGGCCAGATTCCACTGCCTGCTTTCAACTGGGTGAAGGCCAGTCAAACTGAGGTGAGGCACAGTCTGATACAGGGTGGAAGGCTAGCGGATTGGATGGTAGTACAGTCTTTCAGGCAAGGTGTTGTATGCAGTTAACCTGTAGGCTCCATAGTCCCTGAGAAGAAGGGAGAGCTGTTAGGTCTGAGTTGTCTGGCCACCCTATGGATCACTCTGGCCTGTCTGTCACAGTGACTTGTTCTGACCTTCTATCCTTGTACTTCTTTTCGCTCAGCTTCATGTCCACATTGTCTTTGCTGGTAACCGTGTATTCCAAGCACAGATGAAGCTCTGGGGGGTAAGTGAAGACAAGGAGGGGAGGAAGATAGGGTGCAAGAAGGACCAGATTGGAAGTGTCCTGAGGGAAACATTTTTAATGCGACCTTCATTTGCTATCATATTCCCTCCCCCTTCCTTCTCCTCTTCCTCTTCTCTTTCATCCCTCTCCCTCTATCCCATTTCTTGCCTCCCTTTCCCTTTTTTATTTTTCTCTCCTCACCACTCCACCCAAACCCTAATCCCTTTGATTCCCTTGTTCCTTCTTTCTCTTGTGTTCCTGTCTCCTCCTCCTCAGGTCATAAACGTGGAGCAGAGCTCTGTCTCTTTGATGCCATCTCGGGTGGAAATCTCCCTTGTCAAGGCTGACCCAGGATTCTGGGCTCAGCTGGAGTACCCCAGTGCACTAGCTGAGAAGGCTAGGGCAGGGGTTGTGGTAGAGATGGATGAGGAAGAATCTGAGGATTCAGATGATCTGAGCTGGACAGAGGAGGAGGAAGAGGAGGAGGCAATGGGAGAATAGCGGCACCAGACAGTTTAGTGTCTAGCTAGGACTCCAGTGACTCCCTTAGACTCTCTGACCATGTGGTATCATAGAGCAGTAGGAGGCTAAAGAAGGGGAGACAAGACTGTCCACGCCTGACTGTTTTATGCCATAAATAAATCTTGTATTCTACAGTTTCACATAGTGTCATTCTCTTACCCTACTATGTAAAAGATAGTATTTATCCCCCACTTCCTTGTGTGCTCAACACACATGTTAAAACAAGCACATGTACATGTATTCTGTTCTTCACAGCCACCACATATTTACTGGGTGCTTCCTCTGTGCCCAGTTATGTGTTAGGTGCTCTGGAGATACCTGAGAAATAGAAGATTTACTCATTCCTCTTGAGAAAATTATACGCTGGCTGACATGTCAAGGCTAATCTACATGAAAGAAGAATAAACACCAGATAGTGTTACGAGTGCTAAATTGTATAGTATGGCTTTTTTCTTTTTATCTTTTTAATTTTTTTTTTTTTTTTTTTTTTTTGGTGGAACCAGAGATCCCTTGCGCTTGCCAGGCAAGCGCTTATTCTACTGGGCTATCTCTCCGGCCCCATATCTTTTTAAATTGTTTTGTACAGTCTTTAAGAGGTATAAGGCTCCATGGGAAAAAAAATAGCACTTTAATACTTTTGTTTTGTGTATGGTCCTGGGGAATTAAATCAGGACCTTCACAACGAGCTACATCCCCAGTCCATTTTTTTTTTTTTTTACCTTAATGGAAAATATTTATTTATTTATTTTTGGTTTTTTGAGACAGGGTCTCACTATGTAGACTAGACTGGCCTTCAACTCACTGTGTAGCCCATGCTGGCCTTGAACTTGTGGTGATCCTCCTGTCTCAGCCTCCCAAGTGCTGGGATTACAGGTGTGTGCCACCATGCCTGGCTTTGTCAATTTATTTATTTATTTTTTTTAATTTTTTTTTTAATTTATTT